CTGTGCCTGCGGTTCTGTGGCTGCGGTTCTGTGACTGCGGTTCTGTGCCTGCGGTGCTGTGGCTGCGGTTCTGTGACTGCGGTTCTGTGGCTGCGGTTCTGTGACTCTGGTTCTGCGGCTCCGTGCCTGCGGTTCTGTGGCTGCGGTACTGTGACTGCGGTTCTGAAACTGCTGGTGCTGCTGGTCTGCAGCTGGATATACAGTATCTCAAATATTAGAGAACGGCGGAAGCGGCGACGCAACTCTCTTCAAGTGTAAGTACCTCAGGGAAAAATCTTGTTCATTGCGCTTAAATTGCACTTGTTTAACATGATCTAAGTGAACGGCTGACTTATTGAAAGTTTAAACATTGTAAATCGATGAGATGATTTCGTGAATCGGCTGTAAGAAGATGTTTAATCATTGTTATTACTGAGCACATCAAGTTAACGAACAGATCGAGCTAGTGTCAATGCTGTTGTACAACAGCTTGTTAACTGCTTCTTTAACGGAGACGTTCATTGTTAAGCACTTTAATGAGATTAGAAAATTCCACAGACTTTAAAACATTTTTTCCCCTCTTTTACTAATATTTAGTTGATATTTTGTTAGCTACTGTTAATAAATATGCCTCAGCTTGTCAATGTAGCATTAATGGCTTGATAATGACTAATGGTTACTGCTGTGACATTACAGGGACTGATGAACACACTCAGCTCATTCAGTGGAGAGTGGCTGATGAAGCCTTCACTGGAAAGCGTAATGCTGCCATCAACGGGTTTGAGTAAGTACACAAGTTATGTAAAATGTGCTTTTATTCAGGTGCTGTTGACACTGAACGTAGTAAATACTAACACTTAAAGCAAAGGACTTGCTGCCTTTTTATGCTTGATTCCTGTGCATTTATTGTGACAGCTTTTGTGACAGAGCAGGGATTTGAGGGCAACATTTCTGCGCTCAAGTCAAAAGAAAGCGGGAGAACCTAAAACAAAAATATAAAGTACGATTTTTTTTTTTATTAGTTCACCCCAAAATTTGTATTAGTTCATGATTTGATCATGCTAA